ATAATTGGTTGTCCCGTTCGAGTTCAGTAGTAAAGTTAATATCCTAGAATGTGTTGTTGATTAACTCATGGGTATTCTGTATGGAATCTCGTTTGATGATGACGAAAATTTTTGATTGCCCATTTCTCGTTGTATACTATTCCAATTTCAAAGTCTTCATTGACTCCTTGAACTCAGCATTTTTACTATGATGTACACTATAAGATGCCTTTATGTATATCTCGTAGACCGTTTGATCCATCTAATTTATTCCGTCAGTTTGATCCATATTTTTGAACACAATATCAGGAAGATTTTCTCGTTCATCCTATGCGGCACCTCGATGCATTGTTTCCGTAGTGATACCGTTCACTATAAGCAGCAGAGTTTGCTTATCAGCCCCTGTAATTATAAAGGATGAATACCAAGTTCTTGATCAATTTCATAGTGGGTCATAGTGGTGAAGTATCCTGTTTAATGCTACGTAAAGCATTTCTGTACCCTCTCAAAAATCCTTTTATCGCACTTTGTCACATTAGTAGCTGAAAATGATTAATATTCCATTGTGGGTGTAACCTATATCTGTCGATGACCGAATGAATTAGGCACCTGCGTTGGAATCCGGAGGTCAATAATTCAAATCCGTGTAGGGGCGCGCGACTTCGCGGTACACCCAGTCCACGCGCGGACGGAAGTGGTCACATGGCGGCGAAGTGTTGTTACGATGTGCCAGCGTGCATTTTCAGATGGCGTATATAGCTAATGTCTAGCTTCGCGAAGTCCGGACAATCGGCTGGTGAAGCAAATGGTTCTTTAGCGTGCGCACAACATTGTCAGCATATTTGCATCCAGTGAATGTTGATGGTATGAGGAGACTTTTGACATATAAAGTGAATAAAAAGGGTGAAAGGATCGCACATTGCAAAACACCATAGTCAACGGAGAGCATAGAAGAGCTTTTGCCGTTTGACTGAGTAAAGTGCGCACGATGTGCGAAATAGTCATGCAACAAGACGTAAATATCACGGTGGACTGGGTTCAAATAAACTAGGCTAAGCAGAACTGATCGGTCAAGGCTCCCAAACGTAATTAAATAGTCAAGAAAAAGAATCCGTACAGACCTACAATTTTTATCCAACGCAGAGGCTATTGAATGCATTTGATCTAGAGTGCTGTGGTCTACATGCAAATGGGTAGACCTCATCAGTACGTGTGGCTGTGGAAATCCGTATAACTAGTAGCTTTTCGAGGTTTTTTAAGAGCACGGAAGTGCAAGCAATAGGCCGATACCTTTGAGGTTCCTTTTTAAGAATTGACTTTATTCTGGCTAGCCTCCAGATGTCGGGTATGGCACCTGTCTTGAGACACTTATCGACAGTATCATTCAGGGGTATTTTAAAGGAATCTTCATACTGCTTCTAAACCACGGGTAATGAAGTATCAGAACCAGAAGCTTTGTTTGAATTTAGATTCTCGAGTTCTCTGTTGACGTCAGCTTGATTAAATAAGGCGGCTGGGTATGAGCTAATGAAGGAAGGTAATGGCAAAGCGCTCGACGGAGAGGAACTAAACTCAGAAGTGAGTTTGTCAACATCCATGATTCCAGTACATCCGATGGTACTTTTACCACAGATTTACTTCAGCAGCCTCCAGAGATATTGGCAGTTATGGTTTCCCTGTAGCGTTTAAATGTACAAACTGTTTAGTCTTGTTATTTCAGCTTTAATTGCTCACGTCAGGCTTTTGACTCGTTCCTTTTTTCTTCGAAGCTGTTTCACCAGAAGTGAAGAAAATCTGTCTGCTCGCAGGTATATCCTCTCGACAGGGCAGCATATGTGAAAGCATAAGTTTACGTAACTCGTGAGATGATCATGTGGAAGCGATAGATCTTCATCTGTAAAAACTGAAAAATCGGTTGAAGTAAGCGTTGCTTGAATTCGTGCGATATTTTCAGTCGACCAATAGCGTCGTCAGATAGTCTTATATTGTCGCTTCGTCAATGCGGCATAGTTAGTTTCACTGTAGCAGGTAGGGCAAATTTTTAGAATACAGTGGACCAAGTTACTTAGTGGTGCACACTTTGTATGGAAAACAAACGAGGTTTGTTTGTGTAATCTACACCAAGCTGTGCGTCTTGTCTGGTCGGGAAAGTTACTAGATTTGCCTGACAAAGCGACTTGAAAAACGCTGTATCACATTTATTAAAGTCACTGGCGACAATGCAGGCGGAGCATACTAATTTCCGCAGCAATACTGATGAAAGTTGCTCAACTAAAAGCTTCAATTCGGATAATGATGATGTATCAGGGGCAGTGTAGAAGTTTCCGATAACAACAGACTGAAAGCCACTGAGGCTTGCATTTAAGTAAATGACAGCTAATAAAGCTTGTAGAGTGAGTGAATAATTGATTGGCTGAGTTGAACCAGAGTTGGTTAACTTACGTGATGACGCCACCATCATGATTCCTTGGCTTACCTGAGCGACCGGACCTCATCACACGGATCCACTGACGCTAATGACTCCAACTCCAATCTCAGGGTAAAACCGGCTTTCTTGTAATGTAATAATACCTGGGTTTAGATATTCCTTTCGTAGTATAAAAGCTGTGAAATCAGTGATTTTTCTTAGGAATAAACGCACATTGCTTGAAAGTATGTGTGCTATTTGCATTTTCTCCACAGGACATCGTCGCAGACCAACTTTCCAACCGGCATGATGTTTCCTTTTGTTGCCATAATGTTTTCTCACAATCCGTTTAAAGTGTACTGGATTTATGACCGTAGTCGTCTTAAGGCTTTTTACGTGCTGACTTCAAATTGATTTTGAAAGGCGGCATAGTAGGATAATATTGGTAACTAGGATATGGATCAATTAAACAAGACTGATAAAGCACAACAGCAAAAGTTATAGGTCCACAGTAGATAGTGTAAAATAAACAAAGAATTGAAGACTGGTAGCTCAAGTTGCTTAGATGGCGGTTGAACTGTTCGCTGAGCTTGACAATTTTGTTGCAAACATTTCGTCACCAAACGAGATGACATCATCAATGCGTAGTTGAGTGGCGTGCAGTAGTGTAGAGTAGCGCCACTAAACTACGCACTGATGATGTCACCTCGATTGGTAACAAAACATTTGCAACAAAATTGCCGAGCTCTGCGAACAGTTCCACCACCAAAATAAACGATATTCCAGGAGGCAACGGTAACTACCTTTTGGAAAACCCCGCCCTTCACATGTCAACACCCATGTATAGTGCATATTTGATGGAATAGGCCATGATGTCATGTGTATGTGGTCCGGCTCCGCACTCCTTTAGGACGCAACTCATTGACGTAAACATTGGCGAAATCGAAGGTGTATGCGTGTACAGGACCGTGATGGAAATATGATCTGGGAAGATCACTGTCACGAAGGCTGCAACCAGCTTCCTTCTTTTGTATAGCTGAGTCAGCAATACCTACGTTGAAGTAATGTTGTTATATGAAGTATTGTCTTATCAAATTCACGCAAATTCTTCCCGTTAATTTTTCTCGTCCAGCTTCCACTTGGTGATGAGATATCGAAAATCCTCCTACTGAACAGTGCTTGATAATTCGTCCTCGCACTCTTCAAATACACCATGTTTAAAATGCTGCTGTGTAGTGGACGTTGTGACCTTTGCAGACCAGGCATTTTCATCTGCGATGGTAGGAACATGCATACGTTGCACCAACTCCCAGTTTGCTTGCAAATTATAAGACGGTCTACCATCGTCCCGCGTATTTCAATGGCAACAGCTGCTTTCCAGCTATCACATGCTGCTAACGGGCATAACTTTCTTTCCGTACACATGACGGAGAGAATATGCACAACTGAGGAGCCTCATTTGGGCGAAGCGTTCGTCTGGGGCTTTTCCAGATTCCTGGTCCGGCGGTCTGGCTTGTGATCTACTGTGCGAATCAACAACATTTGAAATTTCTGATATCGAGTCTAGCCGCCGTTGGTCCTGCTCATTTTTCCGGCCGTGGACCGATGGGAATGGCCATAATTAGAGCATACTACATATGCAACATATTTTTGCTTAGGCTTTATGTCTTGAATACTTGAGAACCACAAAATAGGAAAGATGGTGGGCGACGGATTCCTTGATTTTTACTTCGGTTCTCTGGGAAATCGCCCTTCGCAGGCAACAATTCTTGCATTATTATTTTCCCATACCATCTTGCAGCGCTGTAGTCGCTAAGCCAACCATGCTGTTTGCCGTTTAAACGTACCGTCATCTTCTCAGCATCAATGATCACGCACTAATTCCAACAACTCCACTGAGCGATATCTGAAGCAGTGGAGCCGGCCATGCCAATTTACTTGACATTTCTGTGAATCCTAGGAAGATTAGACTAGATTTGTATTGGCCTACAGTCGTTGAGCGGTGTCAGCCGCTTCATTTCTCATGCAAGTGCTACTTTCGGTTCAAACCGTCGAGATAGACGCAGTCCTAACTGACTTGCGGACTGCCGTCACAGTTTAGGCATTCAGATCGTATGAAGGAAAGCGCATTATCTCTACTTACCGGTTAACTCGCTCCATCGATGGAACTACCTGTTTACCACGCGAAGCCGGTGAGTCTTCTGAAAATTCACCTTGGTTCTGGATTCAGTGCTGCATGCGGTTGGACAGACTTGTTCGTGTCCTCATGTGTTTTTCTTGCTATTGTACAAAGCAAAGAATCGTCAGTTTTTACGGTTTTCTTCAGCACCGAACCTGCCTCTACATACTAGTCGTAGTCAGAAGACCATGCGACGTAATCATTTCAAATGGCTTTGCAATGGGGCATAAACAATATTCACCCGCACCTCCCATTAACAGTACTTATGTCTGAAACAACCTGTTAGTTGCTGCAGTATCAGAGTGCACTAACCTTAGGAGTAGAAGCCAAACGCATCTCACAGCTGTGAATATCCTTTCATTTTTATTACCTTTATTATTGCAACTTCATGTCATACGTTTCTTCCATTTATGATTGCTTGCTAATCTGTTGTAGCAATTGGACACTCAGTTTTGAATGATAACACTGTTGCACAAGGGGAGTTGAAGCAGGAATCTAAGTTACAAGTCTTCTCATAATGTGGCGATGGCCTGCAATACGTGAAGTGTGCTTGGAACGCTGTTCATCAGAACTTTTGGTCTCCCAATGTGAATGGACACAGGCGGCAATTCGACGTTTACGTGCACATCCATTCTTCTTGGACACATTGACAGACGGAGAATAATTGACCCCATGCATATACCTCTGGGAGAAACTCACTTTGCATTTGTCTCACCCCAGAATGTTTTTGATGCATTTATATACTTGTGTCTGATTTTATCTTGTTTATTATTAAACCCCCTTGACTTGTGTGCGTTTGTGTTATTCCAAGGGAAGGTTTTAGCTACGGAGAAATGGTTTGATACGCATAAAAGGCTTGCATGTTCACTCTATACGTTCAACCACACCGTGCGAGCTGGTCTAGGCACTCCCTACGTGCACATAACCCCAAACACGCGCATACACGTAAACGCTTAGTTGGTTTCCTATTCTTTCATTCTCTACCTATCTCTTTACCTGTACTCACCCTAGCTAGACACCTGTTAGATTACAGTAGGTATTTTTTTTACCGAAACGTCGTTCTCAACTCGGCTCTTGCTTGTGCCACTTAGTATACAACACCGATGCTCGTGCTTTACTGAAGGTCAAGTCTAGCATTCTTAAAGGCTGGGAGTTCTTTTATGTAGTAAAACCATTTTGACCTGATTTATCCATCACACCGCCTCCGTTCACCGCGATTGATTGATGTGACGGAGCTCTCTAGTCCATGAATGTCAAAATTTGCGGAACTGAATTACTTTCTCGGAGTCGGCAGTGTCGTCCACAAATGCATCGAATGCGGCATTCCTCATAGACACCAATACGCCAGTGGTCGCTTTGTTGTCATCAAACCAATCGGACCGATTACGGTTTGCTCGCCTGATCTTTTTCTCTACCGCAGAGGTCACCAATTTGCAGATGTGATGCCACAAGTCGATGACTCAGGTTATGGAGACGATATCACCAATGTGTGTAGCCATCGCATGTTCCAGTTCCACCGCTTGTCTATTAGTATTAAATTTGCACCGCTGATTCGCGGTAGATGAACAGTACATAGATTTACTAATATATATTTATATACGCTTTGGTCCGCACCGACTTGTGATCAGGGCCGCATTCAGCTCCATGCAGTACACGCACGCAGTGCGAACCGAATGTTTGTGATCATCAAATCATGAGTGACGCACAGTGAGGGCAGCAGGCCACCCTTCACATTAGCTATGCTAATATCACAAAGACTGGTGACCTCTGTCCACACCACGGCATTCACGCGTCGTGCGTTTTGAAATCGCCTAGTAGGAATAGACGGTCACCCCTCGGCACAGACCGTATCACAGATGATAACCGAGCGTAAAAATGATCCATCATGTCATCAGGATAACACTTGGTTGGACCATACATGCGAATAAATGTGGCAACTTTACTTCTTCCAAGTCGCATGCGAAGATTCATCAGTCGTGTGCTGAGGCCAGTCCGCTCTGGCACCTGCTGGCCATTTAGGTGTTAGTGCAAGCCTGATCTTATGTTCACGTGGTGGTGTGGGGGCGTTTCCCATTTTTAGTATATCGTGTACCCAACGTCAGGCTCATGCACCTTGCCTTGATCAGCGAGCCGTCTCACATAGTGCGACAATCTCAATGCCGTAGCGCAAAATTGCCTTCGCATACATAGCATTGCGTCTCTCTAGACGTTCACTCGAGTTCCGGTGTAGTACTGGACGGTAGTCAGTAACCGGGATCTAGTGGTAAGAGCACATCGGCTTAATTTTCAAAAACACGGGTGCCATGTATGCTAGCCGTGATGTCTTTACAGTGACCTATAGGGTTTCGGTGTTGAACCTGCTAGGATCATAGCCATCGCCAAATGGACGCCAGTCTCTTGCGTTTCTGGACACAATGTGAAGCACTGAGGGACACGGCCTCTTCGAAAGTCAAACGATACCTGGATGGAGCACGTGCTCCAATTCGGTCCTAGGGATTCGAAGCCTGACAGTCGTAATTCGTTTAGCTTTCACGGAAGTCTACAGTCCTTTCATAAGGATGTGATGTTTTGTGGCATCCGTGGCTTAAGGCACTGAAGTAGCAGCACGAAAAGCCACATCTCCTTTAGGATAGCGTCGTTCACCGTCGTGGGTTTCGCTAAGATGTGCATTTGTGCAATAGCTGCTATGGCGTAAGATCACTGCGATCTGTCTGGTTTAGGAGTTTCGCAACGCCTTGTCGGCCGAATGAGCCTGTTTTTCTCAAAAGAGCGGCATCAACTTCTTCATAAATGTTCCGCTTATCAGACAGTTACAGAATGTCGTCGAAAGCAGATGGAAGAGGCGCCGATACCAAGTGAACTTTAAACATTTCGGACTTAATAACACCTAATAAGTACTGAGATTTTGTTTGAGTGAAACAGGGCTTAAGGTCTATCTCATAGGAATGCGGGATAGGGGGACTGATTGCACTTACCTGGTCTACAGAATCTAGGGAAATCACTTTCATGGCGAGAATGTACCGGGCCAGCAAAGGTGGGCCCAACAATTAGAAGAAACTGGAGAATCTCTAGGATGTAGGAAATAGATGGCCGAATCTAAAAATAGTAACCAATTTTTGCACGTAGATCTTCTCAGGTTAACGGTCAATGGAAGTTAAGAGGGAGAGCATACAAAAATAAGCTATTTTGCTGTGAGTTCGATAAGGAAGCTAAGGCTAATAATAAGGCATCAGAAGAGAACTACACAGTGAAGATGTGGACAGGTGCTGAGTGCGAAGACGGCGGTCAGCAACAGGTCACGTCCGAGCTGGCGCAGCGAGTGGGAGTGCGCGTGGCTCAATCAAGCCAGAACAGAGTTAAAAAGAGCAAATACTTAATACGTAAGAAAACTATAATTTTATAGCACTTCACAATATTGAACACAGTCAAACGGTGGAATCTTATGGTCTCTACAAACCTCCTATTGTAGGAAGCTCATAGCTGACACGTATTAATAACTATATTGGTTTGTCTTGTATTTTTGACAAGTTACCTTCTAAATTAGAGAAGGGCGCATTGTAGTCCAGACAGTAGAGAATTTCTTTGTAGGATATTTCAGTTGGCTGCACTATGGAGTCAGATAAGAACTCATTCCAATTCCCCGATCGAATGAGCATAATAGCCAGTTAATGGAATTCACCGGGCGGTATATCTCGCTTTTATCCGCTCCGGCTTTGCAAGTGATGGGACTTTGAAGTACAGCGAGCAGTGTACCACTGGTCGCTACTTGGATGGCTACTGACCTAATGGTACACGCATTTCTAGGATGACTGAAGTGGACATTACGTTCGTGATTTAAACCCGTTGCGCCTAGTTACCCTATTGGACGCAGACTAACTGACCTGGATACTTGGTCAGAGCAGTAGGTGAGAACCACTGCAGGTCAGGCAAGTGAAATCCGCTGCAACAACTTTATATTCACCCAGATGATTTGATGCACACTCGAAAGTGGCCATGAATACCTTTTCGTTTGAATGTGAAATATCAAGGACTCTACGAATGTATTCAAATAGTGCGGTGGATTTCATGAATTTGGCTCTTTTCATTAAATAGTCTATTTTCTCAATAGTGCCAATAATGTCCGTTCTTGCAGGGTAGTTTTGTTTTAGGAAGATGGCGCACCATTCACTTGGCTTATATATATCAGAATGCGCATAAATCTGACATCCAGATGTTAGTAAGAATCACTTACATTGCATGGTGTGAACCGAATTCATTAAAAATCCCGTCAGATGCAGCAAAGAAAACCAATGGGTGCCAGATATGCATCTTGTTAATTGATCTGGCACATGTAAGAATGATTGAGAAAGTACGGCCGTGGTCACCTAGGTTTATGGACGAGGCAAAAAGCCACGAGTAACTATTGGTCAATCTGTAGTTTCAGGAACTGTCAGTGAAATATAAGCGGGTTACTTGGTGGTGCCGTGTTGAGTTTCGTGTCTCGGCTCATCCTCACTTGGCATAAAAATCTTCGTTGTGAAGTTGGAAGAAGTAAATTTGTCGGACTAAGCGCTTCTTCCCGTTACATCTTTCTACAGGATGAGGCATACGCATTGTAGTCTGGAATTTTGCGCGGTTACTGAGGGGCGCTTTGCTCATCATCAAGCAAAGTTCTATGCGCAGGTGCACTGTTTGCAGTCAGTGGATATTTACTCGTTTCCATATTATTACCTAGGACGGAGTTCAATACCTTGTGTTTTTGCATTGTGAGATCTAGCTACTTAATCATGGTTGCATTGCGTATTTGCTGGCAGTGTGTCACACCGTCACTCAAATCCGCTTCAGACTTAACACTAAGTTTGATCAGGACTGCGAATTTACTGCTTCGTTTCTTAAGCTTATTAGCCAACATACAATTTGCTGTTAAACCACTAACTGCTTCGATTGCCCGCTTAAATACGTCCATCGAGGTAGCGTCCAAAACTGCCTCAGGTCCCTCGGTCCTTGATCTACGCGGTGGCTTAGGTAAGCCACAAGGTGCAAATGAGTTTTGGGCCCTTTCATACACGAGTTAGCGGAGGTTTGGTCACGCGCAGTGATCTTACCATACCGAATATCCCATACCATGGTCAGGTTATCAGCGGTGAGATGTGATGTCCTGGCGAGTACCTTCGTGCAAATTACCTAGGCTTATTTCAGATACGGTAGTTTTCTAAAGCGTGTGTTACTGAGACCGTATTCCAGTTCCAAGCTAAATTTCCACTCAGAGTCTGTCTTCTATGAAGTAATCTATGGTTCGGTAGTTCAGGTGACAGGAACTGTCCGCTTTTGGATCGTTATCTATCGATACCGTCTGCGCGTCGCTAAGTAGCTGCATGCGCTGTTTATTTTGTAATTTTGCGTCACATTTTGCCGTTATGGACAACAGTAGCTCGGAAACGCCGGTGCTTTGTCAGAGTATAGTATACCGACACAAACGTAGGCTGTTGCAGGGGACTTATTCTTGTTGGGTGAGTGACTTCACCAGGTGTTGTCGGAGCGTATACACCATTCCTCGTTGAAAAATACAACGTTCCTACAGTTTGTGTTGTACTTCGGCCTGTACCGCTTCAACACGTTCTGACATCGGATAGCTAAGAACAT